GAGAAAATATGTTTTAAATCATACATCTGGAAAAGAAATATAGTCACATATTCTTGAAAAGAATATGAAAGATCTGTCATAACTCAACAATAAAATAACCCAATTAAGAAATGGGCAAAGGACTTGAACACTACCAAAATGTATATATGTAAGGCAAAGAAGCATGTTAAACAACATCAGTCATTGGGGAAATGCAAATTAAAACCACAATGAGATACCAATGTCTATCTGTAAGAAGGGCTAAAATTTAAAAAGCACTGACCACACCATGAGCAGTAGATGTGAAACAATGGGCACTGTCATAAATTGCCGATGGTAATGCAATATGAGTCAACCACTCTAGAAGACAGTTGGTCAATTTCTTACAATGTTAAATGTACATATTATATGGCCATTAATCCTCCTCCCAGTATATACCCTAGAGGGCTATAAACTATGTTCACCAAAAAATGGTGTATCAAATATTTATTCATGACCACCAGAAATTGGAAACAATGCAAATATCCTTCAACAGTTGGATGAATAAACAAATTTGGGTACATACTTAAAATAAAATACTACTCAGCAATAAAAAGAAACAAAGTATTGATACACATAATAATTTCAAAAAGCATTGTTTCAAAAGCATTGTGCTAAGCGAAAGTAGCCGGACTCAAAGGTTACAGTGATTACAATTAAGACACTATCAAAGGGATAAAATGCTAGTAACAGACACTAAATCCGTGATGCCAGGGGCTAGGAGTAAGGAGGAGGGTAAGACTGTAAAGAGATAGCATAATGGAGTGTTCTGGGGTGATGGAACTATTCCAGATCCTGACTGTAGGGGTGGTGCTACGAATCTACACATGTGTTAAAATTTGTAGTACTGCACACCAAAAAGGAAGGAAGGAAGGAAGGAAGGAAGGAAGGAAGGAAGGAAGGAAAAAGAAAGAAATGCCAATTGTATGTTCATTCAAATAATAAAATTTAAAAAGTAGTGGAATGCATTAGGTATATTGCTGCCTATATAGGGGAGTGCAGGGTGAAGATGAGTATAGTTCAACCAAGTAGAAAGGAGTTCTTTTAGGGAATGGGTAGAATGGGTGTTCAATACACAACCAGCAGTGACCATGATAAGCATAAACTAAAGGACAAATGAATGTAAGAAAGTGGCTTAGATTTGTTAGAAATTCAGCGATGGATAATTCTAGATTAAACTGAGAGGTGTGAAAAATAAACTTCGCTAACTTTTTTGTTATTTGGAGCAAATATAAGGAAGCAACAAGCCCTCTGTTAAGGACAGATGGTGTAAGATTAGATGACAGACAGCATTGTCTACCTAATTGCTTTTATGCCTCTATGTTATCTGTCAAGGAGATGACCTGATATAAATTAAAATGGTGAGTTCTGAAAACAGAATGTACTATATAACTCCACTAGAGTTAAATATATGTGGATATAGAAATAGATATATGGATATATAGACACACACATATGTGCATAAAAATAATATGAGAAGGGCATACCCTTGAAATGTTAACAATTGTTATTTCTAGATGTAGGAGTCTCATTTTCTTTTTGCTATGCATTGTATTTCCTGAATATTCTGCAAGGCACACTTACCATTTCTAAAATAAAACAGAACAAATAAGTGATTATAAAATGAAAAATAGGGTAAAAAATCTTTAAGAAAACAGAAGCCCCAGGTGAGTAGTTTCTCAAAGAACATATAGATTTTATAAGAGTTACAATTTAATACACCCCAAAGCACTGAAAGAACTTTTGGAGAACAGAAGATATGCAAAAGTTCCAATCTTTAAAAAAAAAAATCAGCTTCTGAAAACAGCAGCCATATTGTACACCTAATTATTGAAAGAACAGACTTGGAGGATTTAGAGAAGAAATGCCACTAGGATGCCAGCTTAGGCTCACTAGAACTGTCATAACAAGAAGTGATGGCTGCTATGTCCTCAGACTTGATCTATTCAACACTTTTTTTTTTTCTCTTTCTGGTGATAGACTCTTGGTGTTATTTTGGGAAACTATTTTGGATATTTAATAGACTCCTGAGCTTACCCTGGCCAATAGTTAACACAACTTTTCTCCTAAAACCTGGTTCTCCCAGTAACTTTCCCATCTCAGGAAGTAGCAAATGCAACCTTCCAGGGGTCATTCCTGACATTGTCGTCTTCCTCATATTCCACCTTCAAACCCACCAGCAAAAGGTGTTCTTTTTAACTTTAAAATACATCAAAGATACAGAGGCAGAGCTGCCTCAAACAGATTGTCAAACTGCAGCGGGAAGGCCAGGGAGGATTGGGGGGCGGGAGGTAGGGGGGTAAGAGATCAATCAAAGGACTTGTATGTATGCATATAAGCATAACCAATGGACATAAGACACTGGGGGATAGGGGAGGCTAGGGGACTGTCTAGGGCGGGGGGAAAAATGGACACATATGTAATACCCTTTGTAATAAAAAATTAAAAGAATTAAAAATAAAAAAAAAAAAATACATCAAAGATCTGACCACTTCCTGCTACTTCCACCCACACCCACTACCACCCACCATCTTTTCTCACCTGGGTTATTACAATGGCCTGTAAGTGAAATTCCTACTTGTATTTTTGGCCACTAACACTCTACTATTTTTTAAAAAACACTAGTTAGGCCATGTCACTCCTATGACTCTATTTCACTCAGAATAAAAACCAAGGTTCTTACCATGGCCTTCAAGGCCCCTAATGAAATGCTTTGCTGTCTTCTCTTCTTCCTTCTCCTTCTCCTTCTCCTTCTCCTTCTCCTTCTCCTTCTCTCCTCTCCTCTCCTCTCCTCTCCCCTTCTCCTTCTCCTTCTCCTTCTCCTTCTCCTTCTCCTTCTCCTTCTCCTTCCTTCTCCTTCTCTCTCATCTCCACTTGGCTGTAGCCACGACCTTGAACCAGACATATCCAGTTCTTCCTCAGGGCCTTTGCTCTTACTCTTTCCTCTCTCTGGAATGTTCTGCTTCTAGATAAATGCCCACAGAGCTGGGGTGGCCATATATCCCGGTTTGCCCAAGTGGGTCCCCATTTGTGCCTGCTATCCTAAAACAGGAACAATCATAAAGTATCCCCATTTGGCTGATAAATCAGATGGTCGCCCTATCTGTGGGTCTCTGCATCATCTCTTAGGCTGCTCAGTCTCAACTTCTCCCTGAGGACTCTGACACCTGATTTAAAATTATAGCCCCACCTACCTTCTTTCTTTGTTTTGTATTGTGGGGGGTTTATTCTATGGCTCTTTTCACCTGATACACTCTATTACTTTCTTCCTTACTATGTTTATGGTCTGTATTCTGCCACTACATATGCAAGCTCCAGGAAAACAGACATCTTGCATGTTTTATTTTCAATATCATAGTTCCAGCACCTAGAACAGTGTCTAGTCCAAAGCAGTTCTCAATAAATATTTATGGATAAGTGAATGTACAAATGAATGCCTGGAAACTTATTTTCTCACTAGATATCAAAATAAAATAAAAAACATATCTTTGGGGGCCTTGAGGAAAAAATAAATATTCTATGAAACATTCCTTGAAGCCACATAATCCAATATGCCTTTTTATCTAATTAAAATGTATTATCCTAGTCTTAAAGGCTGTTAGAGTTTTAATTTAAATATTTTGTTCAAATAAACATACATAATTATATAATATGACAGGATTTCTTTATTCCTTTGGTTGAAAATGATAAAAATTTAACCTGAACTTCCAGAAATAAGGAAAAATAGGGGGGAATGTTTATTGGAAAGATGCTGTGGAGTCTCACAGAAATGCAGGATCAAACCTCAGCAGAGTAGCTTCTGGGATTGTTAGAGCCTCAACACAGGATTTTAATCACAAACAAGATTCTTTCTTCTCTGCTCTGCTCCTGCTGTATTTTGACCTTATTCTCTCATATTGCAAACTGACTGTAGAAGTGCTTTTTCTTCTAGCTCCCAGCTGTAATTTAAAAAAAAAAAAGTTCTTCGACCCCAGCTTGAATCACATGCACTATGGAAATAGAGGAGGAGGTACTGCAATGGCTCTCCCACCACCCAGAATCATCACTGTGGTCAGAACTGCTGGTTCCTGCCACTGAAGACAACTCTTCCCATATCAAAATTCACTTTGATACCTTTTTGTGTTTTTAAAATGCTGCACAATGCTATAGCCTATTCCAAAAATTAATAAACGCCAATATGTTGTTTGTTCTAAATGTGCAAGATTTTTTTTCTATACATTAAGACTCTGATTCAGCACTTTTATAAGCTCTTTGCAATTTTACTACCCAGTAGTCGATTTACTTTGCTTTAATAAGACACATTACTGAAATACTATATATCCCATAGTCATAAATACTCGCTCTTTTTTTACTATGTTAAATAGTGATATATATTTTCAATTTACCTATGGTGAGTGTTAGAATATGGCAGCTATATTTGTATTTCACGATGTAAAGTGAATGATAATATTGCACATGCTGATTTATTTCCTTCTTTTCTATCCACAATGATCTCACTGTGCTATTTCAACTTAAAAATATGAATATTGAGGTACCGGCTGTTTTAATGCTAGGGAATACTTCTTTCCCATGAACCAACAGTGTTACTTATAAGAGGAGAGAGACAGAAAAATAAAGAAAAGATCTCTCAAGGCCACCTAAACCAAATAAACCAACAACAACCGCCAATACTAGTTAAGTTTTGACAACATTGCAAAATTTCTTTTTTAAGGTACAAGATACAGAAATGCCCAGGAAAATAACAAAATCAATTAAAGCACGAATCCTTATAACTATCGTTGCCGTTATGATTATCATGTTTTAGACACAAAATCCCTCATCCACATTCCCCATTAAATTTGCTGTATAACTTGTGCAAAGCAAATACTATAAATTGAACTACAATGTTGTGGGTGATATGTAGCTGACAATTTTTTTTCATCCTGTTTTTTTTAATGGGTTTTTCACTTCAAAGGAATCTAAGAGATTTTATCTCCTTTTAGAAAAGCATGCATGCCGGGACTGAAGCAGTGACTTATGCTATGACATAATATGTTTTTGACACAAAAAGTACTTGTCAAAAATCAAGATTCAAAAACAATCATTCTAAGTGTTTTCAGGGGAGCGAGGAAAACCTGGCTTTCATGTCAATAATACAGCTGACATAAATAATGATGGAAAACTGACAGCTACCAGATATGATTTACCAGTAGGTGCTTCAAATTCCTAAAAAATGAAAAGGTGAGAAACATCAATTTTGTATTTTATAGTAATTTTGCTGTAATGTAATTGAACTTCTCATTGTAACAAGTGTCATTATAATTGTATTAGTAATTGGTGAGTCATATCATGAATAACCTGTTTAGCTGAATTCTTGTTTTCATAGTATAGCTGCAACTCTGCCTCAAAATTGAGTTTGAGTTGGCACTTTGGAAGACTAGATTTAATCTTCCATCTTCCACCTGTCTCTTATGAGTAATTTTATTGTAAAAATACACGAAAGGAAAAATTACAAGGTTAGGTGATGACATGCGGTTTTAACTGGTCGTGGTCCTCAAAAACAGTGACGACGAACTGGGAAGATGTGGCTTTTCTGAAGCCTAGAGGAAAGACAGCACACTTTCATAAAACTGCAGAGAAATGTTTGTTCTAAAAAACGACTCCGGGGAAATCATGCCATTGCAACATATTTTCCTCAAAAGACTCATCCTCTGCTCTGGGACTTCAAAACTTCCCATTTGTACATATTGACTGCTTCATTCTGGTGTGATCTATGTGCCCTCTCCCTCCGGTTCATTTTTACAGGACAAGCTGTAGGTAGGAATCAGTAGAGAGGGCTTTCTCTCTTTCTCTTGACCACCTGCCCACCCAGGCACACAAAATGCCAACATTTTATCGGATCCACTATCATAAAGCTATGATTGTATGCTAAGACTTTTACCTTCATTTTAGAAATAGACTAACTATATCCAAGCCTTCCTGGTTTGGGCCAGCTATAATGTACTAACATGAAGCACAAATACCCTGGCTTTGTTGTACATTCACTTGAATGCCTTTGCCTTTTTAAAAGAACGTTGCCATCCATAACATAGGCTGGCTAGGTGCTCTCACCAAATCCATCTATCCTCCTTTCTGAGTTTACAACTCTATCTCATTTCCTAGCCTTTCTTGAAGCTAGCAGCGACCATGTGACTGAGTTCTAGCCAATAGAATCAATGTGACTTCCAGATTGCGTGCATAGCAAGCTTGCATGCCCAATTGACCATTTTTCTTCTGCATCTGTCAGCTGAATGGAGAGGTCCCTGAGAGCACAAAGGAAGGTAGAGCCAGGATACTACATTGGGATCGAGTTGAGTCCATGAATGAGCCTGTGGAATACTGCTCGAATGCCATGTGGTGATAAACTATCATTGTGTTAAACAATTGAGACTTGGGGGAAATTTGGGAACTTATATAATTTAATAGCTAGAATAACCTTAATTCATACACAGCCCACTCCTCAATGTGAGAGGTGACCAGGGTAGAGAGTGATCTTTTGGCTTGCTGCTCAGGAAGCATTCACTACCCTCCATCCCATGTGGGAAGAATCTACTTGCTGCATTACCTGTTTTGACCAATGACATGTTAGCAGATATGAGGTGAGTAGAGACCTTCAATATGCTTGTGGAGTTGGCCTTGTCTGTGGTGCTCTGCTCAACTGCCTGAGAGGAGCATGCCCTGGGGAGCTGCTGCTCTTCAGACTGAGCCCTTCAAGCAGCACATGCAGTGGACCTGAACCCAACCCACCAGCTTGGGGCGAAGGCCTCCTGACCCACAGCTGTGGGAGAGCCATCCAGCTGCACCCTTCCTAGGTCAGCCCAACTATGGTCACTGGAAGACCAGTAAGCAAGAGAAGTATATGCCGGTTGTAAGCCACTATTTGGGGATGGTTTATTAAAGCAATTTCTGATGAGACAGACAAGACAGCCTTGGTGCAGTGCGGTTAATAGTGCAGATTATAAAGCCAAACTCTTTTTGTCAGAACCGTATCATTCATTAGCTATATTTCCTTGTGCAAGCGGTTTAAGCCAGTGGTCGGCAAACTGCGGTTCGCGAGCCACATGCGGCTCTTTGGCCCCTTGAGTGTGGCTCTTCCACAAAATACCACGTGCGGGCGCGCACATACAGTGCGATTGAAACTTCGTGGTCCATGCGCAGAAGTCGGTTTTCGGCCTGGGCGAGTCTATTTTGAAGAAGTGGCATTAGAAGAAGTGGGGGGGTGTGAGTTGGTGGGGCGATGGGAGACGTGGCCAGCGCAGGTGAGGCCGGGGGGCGATTCATGCACGGATTGAGTGAGCCAGTCAGCAGTCTCGTTGTGCAGGGGTTAGTGCTAGTCGCATCCACAAATCATGCTCGGGTAACAAAAGTACCTACTCAAAGCATAAAGTTACCTGTATTTTTCCAACCAGCTATAAATCCTACCTGTATTTTTTTCATCAATTTAAGAATTGTAATTATTTTGTGTTGGTGGCTTTATTATTATAAAACGAAACATTTTTAGCAAAGGCCAGCTTAGGAGTACCCTAGTTAAGTTAATAACAATGTACCTACCTATATGGTTTAATCTTAAAAAATGTGGCTCTCAAAAGAAATTTCAATCGTTGTACTGTTGATATTTGGCTCTGTTGACTAATGAGTTTGCCGACCACTGGTTTAAGCCATGACTCTGTTTTCTCATGTATAAAACGAGATAATAGTATCTATCTCATCTAGTTAATATTTATAAAGTGCTTGGAACAGTGACTGGCACATAGTAGCCACTGGGCTTGTGCATATGAGACAAATAAAATAAACCTTGTACACCCATAATGTGTCAGCGAACTACCCTTATCAAAAATGTGACAGTTTCAGTATCGTCTGCTGCTTCCAGAGGATGCTTGAATTCTCCAGAGACATGCTTCCCTGTGACCAGGAGCCCAGGTTACATAATGTTGAAAGTTCCATCTGCTGAGGCTTCTTTCTGATGAGTCAGACGACCTGGATTTGAATTCATGTTCCACCATCTAAGGCCTTGGGCACTCTGCCATACACTGGGTGTCCATTCCCTCATCAGTACAATGGGGATATAACAGTATTTAGCTCTGCAGAGTTATCAGTATTATAGTAGTTGCTCTATAAATATCATTTCAATAAATACTGCATTATAAATATTTAATACATGTTAGTTATTCTTAATTTGGGCAAACAATTTGAGGAATTGTCACTCTTAGCTCTAACAGAATACTCCTAAAAGATCCTTTGCCATTTATTTCATTTGTACAATTTCCATATTGAAAACTCCAATTATTTGATTCTAATGTATATAATTTATACTTCCAAAGCTGTCACTATTTCTCCGGTTTAAATTCCGGTGATAAGGAAATCTTAATGACTTTTTGTGTTTTATAAAATCAAGCTTTCCATGACAATGATAAAGTTAAATGTGTATGTTTAAAAAAAGAGTGGATTGTAACTTAAAAGTATTAGTTACCTAAATTCACCAGAAGGTAACCTTCTCTGACCCATTTAAGGCAAAGTAGACTTTTTAAAAGAGCAGCTAAAACCAACAGAAATGAAGCTGGAGCATTTTCTCCTCCACTACCACAAATCTCTTTAGCTTTTATTTTCATTTTGTTCTGCTTTATCAGTAAAATGCAAATCATGAAAATCATAAAAATGATTCCTATTATTATGTCTGTGTTAGCTGCTCTTTATTTTTATGTAAATAATGTTTCTACCTTCTATTTACTGACAGTATTTCTGGTATTAGTAAAAAAAGAGCCCTCAGATCACATTCAATTCAATAGCAATTTAATTTAAAAGATAAGAGATGTGGATTGTGTGCAATACTAAGCCACAATGTGTGTAACTTTTACATGAAAATAACCTTAATTTTCCTGCTTGACTGAAAAAGAAATGAAAAAAAATGTTTGCTATAAATCAGGGAAATTTCATAACTTGCTGAAGGTGTAACAGCTGTTGATTTAAGGTTTGCATCTTTGATAACATGATGCTGCTGGGAAGACAACATCTTTCTGACAAAGCTGTGAACATAAAAATTACAAGGCTTACTCAACATTTAAATATTTTCTCTGTATCACTTACTGAAAAAAGTTATTTTATTCGCATATACTAAAATATGTTTGAAGTATATTGTATCTCATCAGAAAGCCTTACAATAAAATTTAGTGTCTTCTTATTCCATAGGTATATAGTAGACTTGTCACATCACAAATAAACATAAATTGCCTTCAGTTCAGAGAAATGATCTACTATTATTATATACAAGTAGTTCCTGCAATTGGCAATACAAACACAGACCTGAGCATACACTTGGAATGTTTTTCATTTCTTTTATTATCAGCTGGAAGTAGGTGATTGAAAAATTAGATGACAAAACAAAGCAAGTACTGCATTGACTGGGGAAAAAATATCTGCAAAGTGGAATCTTAAAAATGTGTAAGAGAATAACTCCCAAACAGAAACCATAGTGGTGTTTTAATTTACCTAAGGGCAGCTGCATTATTGCACATGTTCTTGCAATGTTGACTCACAGACTACGAAAATTTAGGGTGAGGTTTTGTGTTTCCTACATATCAGTGAAATGCAGTAAAAACATCACCAAGAAACTGCTGAGAATGACTCTAGTAATGGCCTTGTCTCCTTACTCTTCAATGACAATCAATGTGCTTCCTTTCTTCTTTGAATTGTACTTATATTAGAAAGTCAGATTGCTTCTTTTATTCTTTCTTTATTGATTAAGGTATTACATATGCATCCTTATGTAATTACATATGTGTCCGTTGCCGTCCAACCCCACCCCCCCACTCATGCCCTCACTCCCCTGTTGTCTGTGTCCATTGGTTGGGCTTATATGTATGCATACAAGTCCTTTGGTTGATCTCTCTCCCTTATCCCCACCCTCTCCTACCTTCTCTCTGAGGTATGACGGTCTGATTGATGCTTCTCTGTCTCTGGATCTGTTTTTGTTCATCAGTTTATGTTGTTCATTATATTCCATAAATGAGTGAGATAATGTGGTATTTATCTTTCTCTGACTGGCTTATTTCACTTAGCATAATGCTCTCCAGTTCCATCCATGCTGTTGCAAATGGCAATAACTCCTTCTTTTTTACCCCAGTATAGTATTCCATTGTGTAGATGTACCACAGTTTTCTAATCCACTCATCTACTGATGGGTACTTAGGTTTCATTTGCATCTC